TTTGCCAAACCATTTGAATTTTCTTCGTTAGACTGATCACGGATGGATGATTGCAAGTTATGAACAGATGAGGACGAATTGCTAGCATGCTGTTGTGACGTAGATGCACCATCACTGTCTTTCTTTTGGTCTTTTGATGCCTGAGCACCTTGGCCAGTTAGGACCTGTCCATTTAGCACAGGTTTTTTATTTTGTGAGTCCTTTGATTTTCGTCCAAAAATGCGTCTAAATAAGTTCTTAGATTTGCTGGCTTTCCCGGTGTTATCAGCACTTACTGCTCCTTCAGATGTCGATTGCTCGGTAACTCTTTCCACCTTGAAACGCGTATCTGCCACTCGGGATGAACTTGTTGTTGGTAATTCTTTGTTCGGCTGTGAAGGTTTACAAATCGTGTCACCAATAAACTGCGGAGGCTCTGACTGTCCCTCTGTATCAATACTTGTTGTAGGTGAAACACCAGTTGCTTGTGTTTCTTTCTGATTCACTAACTGATAACGATCATCATCGCAACCACCTTGTGAACACCATGCATAAAAACAAAATCCTGGAACCTCTGGTTCTCGGTTTGGTCTAGATGTTGGTGCACTACTTGATGTATCTTCTTTATCTCTTTGTTTCGCCTTTTTTGAATCCAATTTGGCGGGTTCATTCAACAACGAGGAGTTATTCCTACTCTTTGTCTTCAATAGTCGTCTATCTAATGTGTTACGCTTCGTTTCGTCATCAACCACAGGATCGGTATGACTCTTTTTGGTCTGATCCTGTTTAGCTCCTTTGTCCATCGGAACATGTACATCAATATCATGTCCGATTTGGAGTTCTCTAAGCTGAACGGCACTTGCTCTTGTTGGACTCGTACCGTGATTGCTATTGCTTGACTCGCTATCTGATGCCGAAATCAACAGAATGTAGTGCACAAATACACTGATAAACAGCATACTCCTCCTCTGTTGCAACTATTTACATCTGAAAGTTGTCCAAAACTGTAACTCTCATTTATAGTATCTTCCTATCCTAACCTTGTTTTTCCATTTCTGGTCATTATCTATAAGAAACGTAATCATCATATAAATAAAAAGACAACTCGAAAG